CTAGGCAAAACTTCTGTTAATTTATCTTTCAGAATTTTGTGTCATACTAACTCTATTTTCTTGCTTTCCTTTCAGAGGCTGCATAAAGCCAAAAGTATAGATATAAATTTAGTTTTTCAATTTATTTGTAAAATCCACTTCTAAGTTTGTTGGATCACCTTTATCTGACTTCTATTTCCATTAGCTTTTTCTCTGAATTCCTTTAAGATATTTGACTCTTTTCATTCTTTTTGAGAAGTTTCCTGAAGTCTGTTCTCTATGTCTATGGATGTACTTGTAGCAAACTTTGTTTCTAATGTGCCTTTTATTCCTATACTGAATTTTCCCATTTCTTATCTGTATTCTGTATACACCCACCTAACTTTTTTCTTCCCAATCATCTTTTATATCTTTTCTTTGAGTTTCTTTTTTTTTTTTAAGGGGCATTTTTTTTTTATTTTTGTTTTTTTTTTTTTTACTTTTTTTTTTTTTTTTCTTTTTTTTTTTTTTAAAGATTTTATTTATTTATTCGACAGACAGAGATCACAAGTAGACAGAGAGGCAGGCAGAGAGAGAGGAAGGGAAGCAGACTCCCTGCTGAGCAGAGAGCCTGATGCGGGGCTCAATCCCAGGACTCTAGGATCATGACCTGAGCCGAAGGCAGAGGCTTTAACCCACTGAGCCACCCAGGTGCCCGTATCTGAGTTTTCTTAAATAAGTAACCTGTTTGAAACTCTAAAGCTATTTTCTACATTTGTCTTTTGCTTCTGTTTCTTCCCCTTTCAGCTACGACCACTCCATCTCCTTGGTTCTATAGAACCTTGTCATTCTTAGTAATTATCATTAAATGGGGAGAGTTTTATCTTGTCATACTGTTTGATAAAGAAATTAGTGCCATGAAAATGGGGCCTAGATGAAGTGATCTGAGGGACTCCACATCTTCTGTTCAGATATATTCTCTGGAACAGTGGTTGTCAAATTTTTTTCAATACAGTCAGTAAATATTTTAGGCTTTGCAGTCTGTACAAAGTGACTCTGCTGTTGCAGCACAAAATTAGCTATAGAAATATGTAAATGTGTGGGCATGACTATGTTCCAATGGAATTTTATTTATAAAATCACATAATGGGTTGTATTTAACCCATGGGTAATATTTTTTTGACCTTTGATCTTGACTGTCTGTTGCTCAGGGGTAGACAGGAGGCCCTTCCCAGGTCATGATGTCGACTGCTGATGCAACTCCTAGGTGCAGATGAAGTGCAGTAGATGATAGCTTACTTCTGTTGCAGGGATGGTGGGTGCTAACTTGGCTGTGCAGTTAACTTGAAACTGATTATCCTACTGCTGTGACCTGTAAGAGTACTGATGTTTTATGACCTTTCACCTCTCTTGTTTTCTGGACATTCCTGCTTCATTTCTTCTTTTCTCAAATGTAGCAATGATTAATATATTTTTGGCAGTGGTCAACCTCGCTTTTTATCGTATAGTCTACTTTTATGAACTAAGTCCTTCAAGAAAGCTTTTGGCATCATAAAAAAAATGTTATCTTTTAGAAAAGTTGGGTCTTGAAGATGTGAAATTAATTGGGTTTCCAAATTGTTGTCTTGTATACTAACTTTTTACAAGTTACTTTACTTTTGGCTTTATGCGGCCTCTGAAAAGAAGGTCTCTGATTCAATAAGTTATAGGGACTTAGGATAAAAAAAAAAAAAATCCCCAAACAACCAAACAAGTAGTAGTGCAGAATACTTGTAGATATCATACACTATTATTCTGTCCTACTTTTTGTGGTTCATTCATATGACAACAACTTTAAACCTTGAAAATGTGAAATGAGTGAAATAAAGTCCTTTTCCAGGCCAAGTTTATGGGCTAGTTAAGAAGACAGCTCTAAATAAATGCAACAACGTATTTAGCCATCTTTTAAAATATGTTTCATTTTATAAATGTTACCTAGGATTATTGCATTATATAATATGTATATAGAGATATGTTTTATATATTAGGTATATTTCAGGCATTTGTATCATTATATTTAAATTTTGTTTACATTTGGCACTTTTTTGTAGAAAATACAAAATCTGGATAGTTTGGTAGAAAGTTTTTTTTTTGGGGGGGGTGTTTTATTGATTTGAGAGAGAGAGAGCATGAGTGCAGGGTGGGGAGGGCTTGAGGAAGTTTTAAGCAGACTCTGTGCCTAGAGCTCAGAGCCCCACATGGGGCTTGATCTTATGACCATGAGATCATGACCTGAGCTGAAACCAAGAGTTGGACACTTAATCATCTTTGCCATCCAGGCATCCCAGTCTGATAGAAAGGAACTTTTTTTTTTTTTAAGAAAGGAACATTTAAATGTAAACTTTGCCAAAAGATATCATACATACAATTGTATGATTATTTATTAAAAATGTAATAAAACATTCTGCAGTGTCCACAGTTGTTATTTTTCATTTCAATTTTTTTTGTTTGGGTGTTTTGTTTTTTTTTTCTGCAAAGACTAGACATTTATAGAAGAAATACTGTAGTTTATGAGATGATTTGGGGGAGGCTCATGAGTAACCCTGTCTTTTAATTTTTTTCTTTATGAAATGGTGGGTGTTTTTACTGTAAAAGCATTTCTAAACTTTGATACATTCCTTACCTTTCTATTTGTATGGAAAAAGCAAAAAGAATAGCTAATAACCTTAGTTTATTGAGGAAACTAAGGTTTAGAATGATATAACTACCAGAAGTTATGCAGCTAATAAATAGAAGAACTAGGACACAGCTCCAAGTTGTCAGATTAAAGCCAATGCTCTTATCTATGTATCAGTTAATCACTGTGCCAACAACTTATCTTTAGATAATTGAATAAGTGTGGATCTTTACATAATTCATGTCTCACAAATTACAGTTTCCTATATGCCAGATTGTTTTCTTTTTCTTTCTTTTTTTTTAAATAAAGATTTATTTATTTATTTATTTGACAGACAGATCACAAGTAGGCAGAGAGGCAGGCAGAGAGAGAGAGAGAGAGAGAGAGAGAGGAGGAGGCAGGCTCCCTGCTGAGCAGAGAGCCTGATGCGTGACTCAATCCCAGGACCCCTGGATCATGACCTGAGCCGAAGGCAGAGGCTTTAACCACTGAGCCACCCAGGCGCCCCAACCAGATTGTTTTCTTACAGTAAAAATTATTTGGAAAGTTAGCTTATTTCAGTCTTTCAATGGTTGTATTTATTCATTTACTCAACTAATATTTACTGAGCTCTCAGAGAAAAGAAAGCAAATTAAACAGACATAATCCCTAAGCTCTTGAAACTATTTCCACATCAAAAACTTGGTGATCTCTTCACAGTAGTCACTGTGAGAAGTTGTTACATTATTCTAGAGATGGGTCTATTATTTAAAAATTTTGCAGTGCTACTTTTTCAGAATTTCCTTTACAGCCTACCTCTTAATCTTCACCAAATCCAAAATGAAGGTTTGCTCTTAGGGTATGTATTTAAATTTGGAAACAACTAAACACGTCCAAGCCTAAAAGCAACAAATAAGCTACATGATCAAGTTAGTGAATTCCTTTTTTCTTTTGCATTGAGTTACTCAGCACCCTGTCTTGTTCATTAAGATTGTGAATTGAAGTATGATGGGCTATTTCTCTGACTTTGAATATAAATCTTACACAGTTCTATCAAAGAATTCCATTTTTTTCTAGCAATAAGTGACAGAATTCTTAGGATATTATTTCTAAAGCTCCCAAGCCAGCTTTGAAGAGAAAAATTCATATGTATGAACACTTTTTTTTTTTTTTTTTTTTTTTTTTAAAGATTTTATTTATTTATTTTACAGACAGAGATCACAAGTAGGCAGAGAGGCAGGCAGAGAGAGAGGAGAAAGCAGGCTCCCTGCTGAGCAGAGAGCCCGATGTGGGGCTCGATCCCAGGGTCCTGGGATCG